TAATCTGTGATAGAGAAATTAACCAAACAAAATGATATTTAACATTTCTACAGGACTCACGAAACAGCCCTTCAATGTGAACTCCCCCTGCAGGTTCTGTGAAATAGTAATCACTGTCTCATCGCCTTGCTGACATCTTTAGTGGTGCATGTCTTTGAAGCAAACCAAGGAACATGCTCATTTAATCTAAATTAGCAACACAGGAAACACCAGTGTTTTTCAAGTGGGAAAGAAATTGGACTTGAAAACTTTTCAGGAAATCTTGCCCCAAAAACCAGAGCCAGGACAGCCAATGCTGTCACACCGACAGGTTCACCTCCCTTCCCCAGTGTTGCCAACTCTCATGATTTTATCATGAGTCTTGCAACATTTAGTATTTTTCCGTAAAGCCCCAACTCCTGGAGTCATGTTATTACATGATAATGATATGATAAGCTCATCTTTCATTTTTTTTAAATAGTAAATTTCTAACCCTTATGGTTGCAGAGAAAACCTTGGAAACATGAACCCTAAGAGCTCAAAACTGGAAGGCAAATAAAAAGAACTCACAATTTGTTATTTTAAAATCTCATGTGAGCCAGTCGTGACTTTTTTGGGTGTGGCTCATGAATTTTGAAAACTTGCCTCCCGACCACCACATCATTGCGGTTTCACCAATGCTTCTGTGATGTTTACTACTCATGCTCCAGTGCCACATGATGATGAATGTGAAAGTATGAACCACTCAATGCTGGCAGAGTTCTATGGTGATAACAATGTGAGCTCTCTTCTTCCTCCCCGGGAAATCCAGATGTTTCCACCTTTATCACAGCCCTGGCTCAGACTGAATGTGATTCCCCAGTTTTCCTGAGTAATAGGAAACCACCTTCTAGTATCCGATTCAACAAAACACCCCTATTCATCAAAGCACATATGTAATGGTTCATTGCTTTGCTGAATCTGGGCCTCTCTTGCCACTTGTCTTACCCATACTCCAGCTCCACGGAACTCAACATCTTGTTAGGGACCAGGATGTAGGTGGTGGTGTCTAGTGAGTGGAGCAGGCATCCAGGTCAGGGAACGGAATTGAGAATCAGCACCATAGTCAACTGCTCATTACCAGAGCCAGGAGATGAGCGAATACGAAGCTGAGGATCAGATCTGAGGTCAGATACCAAATGCTAGAGTCCAGAGTCAAGCCAGAGTTGGAGTCAGAAGTCAAAGCTGAGGGTCAGAGCCAGGATTAGTCACTGATGGTCAGAGGTGAGGTGTTAGTGTAGGAACCAGCAGAGGGGCAAGGAGCAGGCAGGAGCACAGTGGGAACTAGGGCCATAGACAGGGGTAAGTGAGGAGCCTGAAGCAGGAATCAGAAACATGGTTGGGTATAGCATGCCAGAAGCAGACACAAGCAGGATCCAGCACAGCAGCAGGGAATCACCTAATTGCTCAACTTCCTTTGCCACCTTCTGGCTTAAATAGCATGGCTGGACTAATCAGTGGAGCCCGGCGATCCTCCAATCAAGGGTCCCGTGGATGGCGCCTTGGCTGTGGCTGTAGTTCTGCTAGTCCTTCGCCAGCCAGATTTCAGCAGACATCAGATGGTGGCCAGGATGTGATAGGTGTATGGAAACTCACAGGCCTGGATTTGAGAGCCAGGATATCACACACCTTTTCCTTCCCTGAGCTTGCCATGTTATGGGAGTTTATAGCAGGAGGAGGGAGAAGGTCACACACTGAATCTTGGACCTTATCAACATGAGATAATTTGCCAGAGACCCAGCTTAGCTTGAACTGGCCCTGCAAGTAATTTGGAGTAACATAAATATAATCAAAATCTGAAACATAGTTGAGAATGCTTTCCTAATTCTGCCGCTGTCCATGAATATGAATGAAGAACAGTTTTTGGAAGGCAAGACAGAAAACGATTGTGTGTAGCTCAAAGCTCCTGAGGTACTTTTTCAATTACTATTGTTTGTTATGATTTATTAAGTGAGACAAAAGGATACATTTCTTATTAATTTATTCAATTTTAATTTTTCTCCTAGTCAATTATTCTATCTCAAAGTTCATAAATATGGCTTAACTTAACCCAGATCCTTGTTCTATAATACAATTGTGGCTAAGATGAAGAAAGCGCTCTTTCACCCCCAGAAATAATCAGTTACTTCTTGTTTTGTTTTATTAATCATTTACATTCAAGTTGATTCCATTTAGGATTGCTGTGCATAAAATACTAGATTTACTATTTATTTTCAATGGCTTTCAGCCAGGTTTTTCCTTAAATGGTTCTAGCTTGGTTAAAAACATGTTCACATTTAACATGTATCTGCTTGAGATAAATCTGGTTTGGTTTCTAAACAGAGAGATAAAACTCTGTTGTTTGGACATGAACTTTACTCTTGAAATATATATATTGTTTTATGGTAATACTTTTCTTGAGTCCACAGCTGCGTTAAATTCTTTTCTACTCAAATTGTATTAACTCTTAATGAGGCACTGAGATAGATTTAGGTTGAATTACATTAGGTTGTTTTCTTCAGTTTAATCACTAAAGGTGTTTTAAAAACAGTGGCTACATCCCGTAATGAACCTGGTCAATTTCACAGTCTGAAATAATGAGTGAGCGGCCAGATTCTGTTACAGTGGTGTAAATCTGGTGTGATCGTACTGAGGTCAACAATGTTATTCTGGATTTACGCTGCTGTGACAGAGGTCTGAATCTCTCCCTAAATAACTTCCTTCAGCAAATGTAAAATACAAGATAAGGTACAAAATCTCTTCCTGCAAATAAATTAATGTAAAATAACACATTAAGGGGACAGGTTGGTTTAAATGGGCTGATAGCTTTCACCTGTAAGGGACTCGTCTTTGGAGCAGGGGTCAGTGTAACAGCTCTAAATCTGGTGTTACTAGAGCTTTTATAAGGTTTATTCTTCTTTCTGATGTAAGGGGTATAAAATGTTACTTGTGTAAATCCTCTACACAGTGAGACTAGAACAGATCCTAATGTTGAAATGAGCACTTAGAGCAAAATCCAACTTCACTGGAGAGGAGTTTGAGGTGTATGTACAGAGCCTATTTTCAACCTAAATGTCTGTGTAACTCTTCATGCCAATATATGTGCACAGGCAGAGGAGAACTGACCTTGGGAAATAATAATAATAATGTATAATACACGGATGCTAGAATCTTTCTGTTCCTAAGGTATCAACAGTCAAACTTTTTGTTATTCCATTGATTTGATGCTGGTATTTATCTGGGGTCACATCAGTAGCATAACAAAGGTTTGTAGCAATCGCTTGAGCATATGTTTGGTGTAGCTAAGCTATTCATTTGCCTCCCTCCCACTCACAACAATGTAAAACCTCATGTCTCTTCAGAACCACCAAATGCCTGTACTGAGATTGTACTCCTCCTGTAAAGCAGATCATATGGTATTATTCATTTATTTATTATTTGTATTATGGTACAGCCTAGGAACTCGGATCAGGGCCCCATTGTGCTAGGCATTCTACAGACATTTAACAAACAAGACAGTCCTTGACCTAAAGAACTCTCACTCCACATGTCAGAAAGGACATAAAAGGTGGACAAAAGAGACAAACTGTGTGAGAGTGGGTTGGGAGGATAATGTAACAATAAAACAGGGTTTAGTGGAAAAAAGTCTGAGTTCATCTTTTGCCTAACCAGTGCCAGACGAGAATGAAGACTTCCAATTTGTTTATAATTTATTCTACAGGGAAACAAAAAACAATCGGTACTATTTTTCAGTCAGTAAAATTAAAGTCAAAACCATTTGGTTTGGTAGGACTTGTTTGTCATGGGAGGAAGTGTTATCTTAATGGTCCTAGTTCACAACTTGGAGCTGTAATCTAGCACAGAATGTCCTCTGGGGTCTTATTTTTATTAAACTATAGATCCCAGCCGTGGCTGCTGGGTTCTAGTCCCAGCTTTTCCACTAACATGCTTAGACCTTAACCAAATCATTTAACCTTTACATACTCAGTTCCTCTATCTGTGAAAATTGAGGTGATATATACTGTGCAATGGTACAGTGTGAGTATGTGTGTATTAAGGCTCAGGACTTTGGGTTGGGACACTTAGATTCTGTTCTGGCTCTTCCACAAAAAGACTGTGTAACATTGGACAAGTCAATTAACTTCTCTATTCCTCAGTGTACTCATCTGAATAATGGGTGTTATAATCCTTACCTATCTAATAGCTAACTTGTGATATTTAATTCATAAATGAGCTCCTTGGATGTCAGGTGTTATAGCATAATAGATGGAGATTAATAAAACTGATGTACAGAATTTTGTTAGCGTTAGAGCCAACATACCAAATTACTTAGACATTTGTTTTCCTTTGAAATGGGGCTAAGAGCAGTGAGAAGCTGACAGGAGTATGGGCCATAGAATTAAATAAAATGTGTATGTGTGTTTCACTGTAAGCTAATGTTTCGAAGCAAGACTGCTCTTTGTTTTTGGGGAGAGCAAGTACTAATAAAAATCAGTGTAAAACCTCAGTTTGGTTTTTAGCTGAAAGATTTGGGGAGCTTATCCATACACTACAAAGAAAGAAAAGAAAAAAAAAAAGAAAACCAAATCATTGTTGTGTAAAGATTAGTGGTCCATTCCTGGGTTCTGGTAACATTATGAACCATGAGCATCAGTCAATGGAATAACTTCTAATTTAGGCCCTGTCACTGTAGTCTTTCTACTTATGGAACTCCTAACAAAGTATAGGAAAGGACTATGGGATCAGCTTGCAGAGAAACAGGCTTACCAGGTGTGTTTCCTAACCTGTCATTCTGTTCATAGAGAAGGTGGTAATAACTTAAATTTTGTCCTTGTTTGAGTACACTAAATTCAGATAAGGGATGTTTTTTGTGGTGTTACTAAATCATTTTTTTTGTTATTAGCATAAATCTGTGTCAGAAATGTTCATATTTGTATTTTGCACTTGATCTTAGTCTTTTCTCCCCTGACTCTCTTTCTTTGTCCTGTGTGAACTTTCTATAGATGTTTGACTGGATCAGCCACAACAAAGAATTGTTCCTGCAGAGTCATACAGAGATTGGAGTGAGCTACCAACATGCCCTTGACTTGCAGACACAGCATAATCACTTTGCAATGAATTCCATGGTAAGTTCAGAGACGCACTGTAAATATGGATTCTGTGTGAGTGTGTGTGTGGGAGGGGAAGGGACAGGAGTGAACTTCCACTTAAAAGAGAACTGTAGACCCATGAGATGTGAAGAACTAAAGAAGGTCAGGCTGGGCGTGTGGCAGCAGCACTTTGTTCTGGGAAGTTACTTTGTCCACCCTGATGCTGATATATGATTATTTCTTTGATTTAAAACCAGGACAGTCCTGTGGAGCTGTTTACATTTTGGAAAACAAATACAGTATTTTTAAGGGTTTGGCGTTTTCTTGACATGCAATTAACGAGACTCAGTAGAACTCTAGCGTAGTGCTTTAATAATTTACATTTCTCTTCCCCCACATGGCTGCTCCTCAAAATTCCAAACAGGAGAATCTAATCAAACTGTCAGTTGTGTCCAGAATCAGATTTTGTGTTTTTCTTAGCTGATTGCAACTTTGGATGCAACTCATCATTACCTGAGGTGAAAAAAATTAATCATCATCCATTTGGAAGTGCCTTGCTTTCCTACTTGGTCTTCCCTGGTATACAGCATTTGTGTCTGCAAGCTGCAATGCTTTCAGTGCAGAAATTGGGGCAGAATGTATTGATATTTTGATCATTGTGCTCCTTTAGAACAATGAATGCACACACCCTATCGAAATGGCACAGGATAAGAATAGTCCTGTCCTCGCTCTCTGAATATTAACTGTCAGCTACAGAAAAAATGCCCTGAGTCAACCAACCACTTCATGCTGTGTTTCTGTTAGCTCTCTGTAAAGTGACGCAGGGTCAAGCGAGGTTGGCACTGGGATGAGAGACCTCCAAGCAATTTGTAGTTGTTTCAGCTTGTGGCATAAGTCACTAGTGAGCCATGGCCCTGCATGCTGCTAGAAGGCTCTGTGCTGCTGGAGCTGCTGCCTTTCTGATGAAATGTAAAACAGAGATCCTGACCACTTGTGGTCATTAAAGACCACATGGCACTTTTCATAAGATTAGGAATGAAACCCCGGTGTCCTGGTCAAATTCCAACTCAGGTAATTATATTCCATTGACCTAAATTCCCCCTGCCTTTTTCATGGGCTAGTTATTTTTTTCACTAAACCATCAAGCTGTGTGCTCATTAGAACATTGCAGTTCAGTGGTGGATAAGAGGTGCGATGTATGTTTATGTATTTATTGTGATTTTAATTCAAAAGTATGTCAAAACACAGGCTCTAGGAGTCCTGACTGTTGCTAAATTTACAATAACAAACTATCACCCAGCAGAATACTGCAGAAAAATTAACCTACCTTCCCTTTGCTGCATTGGGACCCTGCCCTCAAGAGGAGTTTCCACAGCATGGAAGGGTCTCTGATGAAAAATTAATACCGCTTCATGCATGATAATAACAACTCTCAAGTTACCCTCCCTTTACTGTAACAAAACTAAAACACAATTAAAGGGGGAAAATACTGTGTATAATACTCCAAAATCCTTTATATTATATTCTGCATATTCCTTCTCTAGCAGCCTCATCTGGGCTAAACAAACAGGATCCCAGCTGATGGAGGAGGATGTGTTTTAATTTGTGTGTGTGTGTGTGTGTGTGTGTGTGTACAATGTTTTCATTGTATACAGTAAATAACTATAAAGCACCCTAATTCATTTTGGGGGTTTTCTTTAATTCCCTTAGAAATGATTTCCCAGTTGCTTTTCTTTTTAATCTTGTTTTAAGTGCTCTAAGCATGTTGACATTCAAACAGATAAACTATGACAGTTGAAGATAGGTATAGGACAATCATCAAAGTATCAGGTGGTAATAAAAACATGATGGGAGAATAAACAGAGACTGTAACCAAATCAGAAAGAAACTGTAGAAGGATTCCAGGAGATGGCACATAACTCAGTGCTGCCAACTGAAGGCCTCATTGGCACTTGCCAGAAGCCTTGAAGCTTTACCCAATGGTTGAAACTCACCAGGGACAGATACCTCCTGCAAGACCCTCCTCACCAGTGGAGCCCTGCATTTTGAGTGCTTGGAGGTGGTTCAGAGCAGTGCAGCTGCATAGGTGATTTTGGTGATTCCTGAGCACTATGGAGAGGGTTTCTATACCATGTTGGAATAGCTGTACAAGGAGGGCAGCTTTATGGGCTTGCTGGAGAGTGGCCATGGGTTACACAATTACATTGGGCAGGTCTACACTAGAAGTGCTATATCAGCGCAGCTGCACCGATGCAGCTGCGTCCCTATAGAGCATCAGGTGAAGATGCTCTATGCCAACAAGAAAGCGCTCTCCTGTCAGCATAATTACTCCACTTCTGTGAGAGGCGGAAGCTATGTTGATGGGAGAATGTCTCCTGCCAACATAGCGCCGGTGTAAACAGTGCTTAGGTTGCTGTAACTTGTCTTTTTCACACCCCTGAGCGATGTAAGTTAGATCAACTTAAGTGATAGTGTAGACCTATAGTGTGAATAGCACTTCCACCCTGCAAAGGATCACAGAAGGGGCATAGTTGGGAGTGGTGGCCACGGGAAGGCTTCACTGCAGCCCTGTACCCTAGTGTCAAGTGGATTTGGAAATGAGTTGGAAATTTATCTTACCCAGTTTTGGTCAATTCATATTCATATTTGTGTTTAATATGGAAATGGAGTCAGAAGAGAATGAGCCCCAATTTGTGATGCTCCATCTTGATCTGAACAAACTTTCATTTGGAAGGCTATGAAGCATTACATGCTGGGATGTGTGCGTTCCAGGAGCTGCACTGCCATACTAAAGATGTGTATTCACTGGCATGCAGCATTGTAGGTTTCAGTGGTAACGCATGCAGGAAAAGCAGGAAGAAAAAGGATCAAAATAAAAATGACCCTTTTCTGTCCAAAGTCCTCGATACTTCAGCCTGATCTTGCTATAAGATGTGTGCAAACGCACTCCTGAGCCCACAGGGGTATGCCTGCATGCACTCAGTTGCAAAACTGTAATTTCTGTATCTACTTAAGGGGAAAGGAAAGGAATAGGTAATACATACATATGAATCCAAATAATGTTGGTAAATGTTTCAAACAATGATGGATCCAAAACGGATTCCTTTAATTGAACTTGCCAGAATTTAGGGAAATTAGGATCTGACTTTGTGGCAGAACATTATTCTACAATGGAACAGACAAAAATCCCAGATCCAGAAATGTAGGGTCCAGATCTGGATTTGGGTCAGATCTGTAACTGAACTTTGCAATATCAGCCCATCTCTAATTTTAAATCAAATTTACATCTTTACCAATTTTATTTTTTTAACGAAGAAAACATGAATAAGGATATTTTTGTCAGTGACCGGGACCTGGTAAAAAATTGTATATAGTAGAGATAATTAGCTTATTATGGCAAGACTTGTCTGCCTGTGTACATCTTTTCCTAAGGGGTCCCTGATTTAAAGCCTAATAAAATTCATTTTTTTTACCTGATTGTAGGCATCTTTTTAAGAAAAGTGTCAGGCAATGAAATTCACAAACACAGAGTTACACCAGAATGCTTTTGTAAAATGTATAGACTCATAGACTTTAAGGCCAGAAGCGACCATCATGATCATATAGTCTGACTTCCTGCACATTGCAGGCCACAGAACTTCACCCACCCACTCCTGTAAAAGAACCATAATCTCTGGTTGAGTTACTGAAGTTCTCAAATCATGTCTCCTTATTGTTTATCGTGATGTCTCACTTCAGTTGCAGGTGATACTATTTGATTTCTGGTGGAGACTGCCTGAAAATAACAGTTGAATTTATACATGGATTTTTGTACTTATGCATATTATCTAATATTTATATTGCATTAATGCCCAGAGGCTACAGTTAGGATCGGGGCCGTGTTGTAGTAAGTGCTGTGTAAACACACAGGAAGACATGGTCCCTGCCTTGTAGAGTTTACAATCTAAGCCTTGATCCTGAGAACACTTGTGTATGTGAATTACTTTTTACACATCAGTTGTCCCTCTGAGCTCGCATGCATAAAATTACTCGTGTGTGTACATGTTTGCAGGATAATACCTATGAAATGGAGATATCCTATCTCCTAGAGCTGGAAGGGACCTTGAAAGGTCATCGAGTCCAGCCCCCTGCCTTCACTAGCAGGACCAAGTACTGATTTTGCCCCAGATCCCTAAGTGGCCCCCTCAAGGATTGAACTCACAACCCTGGGTTTAGCAGGCTAATGCTCAAACCACTGAGCTATCCCTTCCCACCTGATGAATAGGGGAGAGGAAAGCAGTCACAATGGACACGTTTTATACACACATTCATTTGCTTTTTTGGTTTAACTCAGTGTTTCTCAGCCCTCTTCATACCATAACCCCATGTTGCAACAGGAAAAAGTTTCAGAAACCCACTCTCATCTATTTATCACAAAAGGGAGAGTGGTTGTGACCACCCCCCACCCCCAAACTTGTTTGCCATCCCCTAGATTGAGAACCCACTTCTTTTTTTTCTTTTCTTTTGATCTTTACAGACACAGGGAGCAATACAACATTGCCAGGCATTCCTGTCCATGACATCCATTAAGCCCAGCTTGGTTATGTCCCTGCATACGATGTCCGACCAGTCCATGGTCAGACTCTGTTGGACTGACCTTGGTTGTGTTTGCATTATTTTCTTTAGCATCCTATCATCTGTTTGCCATTTGCAGTGTTCCCACCGTTGTAAGCTTCAGAACCAACACTTTAACTTATATTTTAGAAATATAAACATAAATACCTGACTATCCCTCAACCTGCCTCCCAGTAATTACAGTACTTCCAGCCCCAATCATGAGTCAGTCCCCTCCCAAAATCCTGAGGTTGGCTTAAAAATCATGAAATAATAATAAAGTAATAATTAATAATAATATATGTGGGGTTGTTTTGCTTTACCTCCTAGTTTCTGAGCCTTTAGCATACACACGGGTCATGTTTTCAAGCTTTTCTCCACAATTATGAAGGCTAGAAATTTTATTATATTTTTAAATGACAGCTGAGATTTTCCTATAATCT